ATCTAACCTCGGCTTGATTCCTTCCAAGATGGCTTTGTTGACTGATTCAACCATTCCATTGGCCTCGGGATGGTAGACGGAAGTGAACACCAACTTAATCCCGTAGCTGGAGCAGAAGTCCCTGAAGGAGTTACAATTGAACTGGGGGCCGTTGTCAGCGATTATCTGGTTCGGTATTCCATATCTGCAGATGACTGAGCTGAAGAGGAAATCCTCAATTCTTCTCGAAGTCAGACAAGATAGAGGTTTGGCTTCTACCCACTTGGTGAAGTAATCAACAACGACCACTAAATGCATCGCTCCTCCTCCTGCTTTGACAAAGGGGCCCAGAAGGTCTACTCCCCATTGAGCAAAGGGCCATGGTGCAGTCATGCTAGTGAGTTCTTCAGTTGGCTGATGGGTGAGATGGGCAAAGAACTGGCATTTCTGGCACCTCTGCACGAACTTCTTTGCATCTTCTTGCATGTTAGGCCAATAGTACCCTTGCCGAAGTACCTTATGTGCTAGAGTCCGGGCTCCCACGTGACTACCGCATACCCCCTCGTGTACTTCTCTTAGTGCATACTCTGCTTCATATGGTGTCAGGCATCTGAGGACAGGTAACGAGTAGGACCTCTTGTACAGAATGTCGCCAACCAAGGTGTACCGAGAGGCTTTTCTTCGCAACTTCATCTCTTCCCGTTTGTCCCCTGGGACGGTACCATTGAGGAGGTACTCTCGGATGGGGTCTGTCCAACTCGGAGCATCTGGGTCAGTGCTGATCTCCATCACCCCCGACGTCTGAAAGCTCGGTTCATTCAGTATCTCGATGTACACAGACTTTGCTTCCCCAGAGTTCTCAGATGCTAACTTCGACAAAGAATATGCATGCTCATTTTCTGCTCTCGGAATCTTTGTAAACTGGAATTTCTCGAAACGGTTTTTCAGCTCAAAGACTGCGGCCACATACCTCGCCAGGATGGGATCAATGACTTCGCACATAGAATTGATTTGGTTAACTACTAGCTGTGAGTCACTGTAAATATGCAGGCGTTTGACTTTGAGCTCGGCCGCCAAACGTAGTCCCAGGAGGAGGGCTTCGTACTCGGCCACGTTGTTTGTGGCCTCGAAGTTGAACTTCAAAGTGTGTTCACTCCGGAAGCTGTCAGGTCCAGTTAATACTGCTCCAGCTCCTGAACCCTTGCTATTAGATGATCCATCGACATACATGGTCCATGTTTCTGGCTCAAAATTCGGTTCCACTTGATTAGAAGTGTGTTCGACCACGAAATCTACCAAAGCTTGAGCTCGGATTACCGACCTTTGCTAGAATGCTATCTGAAACTCTCCCAGCTCTACTGCCCATTTGATGAGTCTCCCGGAGCATTCTGGTTTCTGCAAAATTTGTCTTAAAGGCTGATCAGTCATCACGATAATAGGATGGGATTGGAAATATGGCCTCAACTTCCTTGCAGTAACAACAACTGCTAGGGCTGCCTTCTCTGCTATTGAGTACCTCTGCTCAGCTCCCTGCAGCACCTTACTGGCATAGTATACTGGTTGCTGTTGTTTCCCTATTTCTCTGACCAAGACAGCACTGACAGCAGTATCAGATATTCTGAGGTAAAGATAAAGGATTTCACCTTCCTGAGCCTTAGTCAGCAAAGGCGGCGAGCTGAGGTAGGCTTTGAGCTCGTCGAAAGCCACCTGACACTCCGTCGTCTAGTTGAACTTCTAGGGTTTTCCAGTTTCATCCTTCTAAGCTGCAGTTCTCAAGACCTTAAAGAAAGGCAAACACTTATCTGCTGATTTGGAGATGAATCTGTGCAGTGCTGCTATTCTCCCTGCCAAGCGTTGCACGTCCTTGGTTGACCTCGGTGGTTTCATTTCTTCTATTGCCTTTATCTTCTCAGGGTTGACCTCTATCCCCCTTCTAGAAACCATGAAACCCAGGAACTTGCCCGATTCAACGCCAAAAGTGCACTTTGCTGGATTCAACTTCATGATGCACCTTCTAAGGTTGTTGAATGTCTCAGCCAAGTCAGTCAAATGGTCTTCTGCTCGAGAAATTTTGACAACAATATCATCTACATAGACCTCTAGGTTTCTGCCAATTTGAGCCCGAAACACGATTGTGACCATTTTCTGGTATGTTGCTCCTGCATTTTCGAGCCCAAATGGCATCATCACATAGCAGTATATTTCATCTCCGGCATAAAATGAGGTTTTCACCTCGTCCTCGAGTGCCATGCAGACTTGATGATATCCCGAGTAGGCATCCAAGAGGCTTAGCCTCTCATTCCCTGAGGCGAGCTCTACCAGCTTGTCTATGCTAGGCATGGGATGGCAGTCTTTGGGGCAGGCGTCGTTGACGTTGGTATAATCGATGCACATGCGCCACTTGCCGTTTGACTTTTTTACCATGACCGGGTTGGCAATCCATTCGCAGTAATCTACTCTCCTGATGAACCCCGCTTGCAAGAGCTTCTTCACTTCCTCCTTAATGGCTGTGAGTCTTTCCCCTCCGAAAAGCTGTCTCTTCTGTGCCACTGGCTTCCTCAAAGGATTAGTGCTGAGTTTGTGTACTGCCACCGAAGTTGGGATTCCAGGCATGTCAGCCGATGTCCATCCAAACACATCCTTGTTTGCTTTTAGGAAGCCCACGAGCTCTTCTTTTTCTATGGGAGTCAGCTTCGTGCCGATCTGAGTCTTCTTGGATGGGTCATTATCATCGAGTTGTACCTCTTCGACCTCCTCGACCAGGGTGGCTCTTGGTTCATCCTCTGGTCTGTTATCTGGTAGTTCTACACCCATTACTTGTTGGGTATTCGGGGCCTTGGGGTGGGGTGACTCTGGTGATGGGACTACCTCCTTATTTCTTCATGACCTCGCGATGGAGGTCATATAACAATGCCTGGCCGCCTCTTGGTTGCCTCGCAAGGTTGCTATCCCCA